ATTTATGGATTTTGATGATTCTTGGGCTCTTGATTATCCTCCACAAGAAGTATACACGCAGTCACAGCCGCACAGACTAGAGGGCTTTCTGGGCCGGGCCGCATATGAAAACCGCAATCAGTTTACGGCCCCCTCTGCAACTTTTTCGGGCCCACGAGTGAACAGAAACTACTCGTCCATAGTCAGCGAGGGCTCTTTGATTCTTGATGCTCGAGAAGTAGAGGAAAGAGGAGATGAAGGGCTGTGTGAAGAGATTATCAGTAAGAATCTGAAACTGAAAGAAGTTCAGTTTACTGAAGATGATGATCCCAATAAGATATGTGTGGTGTGCCAGGATTGTCTGTTACGAGACCATGATAAGATTGCTGGTCTCGATTGCGGGCATGATTTCCACGCGAGATGCATAGCGAAGTGGTTGATGCGCAAGAATAGTTGCCCCCTCTGCAAAGCCCCAGGGATCCGCCTGTAAACTTCGTGCAGACTGAAAGATGAAAATCGAATGTTTAGCAGTTGCTCATGGTCTTTTGATTTTTGATTTTTGATTTTTGTTGTTGAGTATTCGTATTTGGTTCCAATAGTGTAGAACTTGCATGATTGCATCTGTTTATAACTGACTTCAATATATGTGATCTATATGGGTAGTTCATGATTAATCAGTCAGCAAAGCTATAGAAGAACCAAAATAATTGCCAGATTAAAAACCATTATATATATAGATTTCGCCAATTTATAATATACACCTAGAACTAATTAACAATTATACTAAGCAAAGAATCCGGCAGCCGGGGCACAGTCATGCTTATTTTCATTGTTTGTTGCTACCTTTCAAATCTTTGTGACTGTATATTTGAGCTTACCATTCAGATTATGCATGAAACTGCAGTACCTAAGAACTACTTAAATAGGACAGACTTTCGTTTCGCGCGATAATTAAAGTATTCTGAACGATATTGGCCAAAAAAATCTAGAAACAGAACATAATCGCCGGTGCAGATAAATTAGTAGTTCAACTTCATGAAGCTTTCTTGATACAGTAAAAACATAACTAAGCCTGACAGAAGAAGAATGCACATGCAAGATTAGAGGAAACATATGAACCAAGAACCAAATAGGCACGTTTAGATACACTCCATACAAGAACTAGTCGCTGTACATTGAAAATTTAACAGCTTCCAGCTAACCGGTTTAGCTCGATCGACTTTTACCTTCATCGATAAGGTACATAGATTAGCTTCCAACAGTACTTGACTAATGCTTTGAGTTCATGTGACATTAAAATTTTATCTAGGACTTGCAGAAAATATTAGAGTCACACGTATTTCATCAGCCATTCATAGTATTACTCTTTACCAATTATTCACAAATACCACAAAGAATAGAACCCTGTTCTTAGTTCGAATCGAAAAAAGCTTTGATCAAATGCTATTTCCGTGGTTATTTATCATGAAAATCAAAAATTAAATTCACCAGCTCATGTTTGGAAACAGATGCCAGATTC